AATCTATGCCAAGAAAGAGCCAAACCCTAAGATTGTTTGGGGGCCCTTGTACTTTTCCCTTACAGGAAAAGCATCCTCTGGATCATGGCATGCACTTGAGAGCAAGATTATTTTTTTTAAACAAGTATCCAGCAATCCTCATCGTCCTCTTTTCCTGAAGACCCCAGAATCATTGGCTAGACTGTGGCTAGACTGCTGGATAGTTCAGTGGTTGAGTTCTCTGGTTGCAGATCCAGAAGCTGAGAGTTCGATTCCTCACTGGGCTTCCCTTGACAAGGGCGGGACTCCATGGTGACCCATAGGGTCCCTTTCCAGCTGTGCAGTTGTAAGAGAATGATGATGACTTATGTACGTGAGGAGCACTATGGGGGCCTTTGGGCCTGAGCTGCAATCCCGGTCTGGATAAGGACCGTTCCCTCTATTTGCACAAAACATGGGTCTCCCATTCCCCACTCCAGAGCAATTAGCAGCCATGAAACACACACACCCCGCAGATTTCAGTGCTGGCCCTCAGTACAAGCCAAGCGTCAACATCCAGAGGTGAAGAAACAGTCTGATGTAGACAGACTGGAACTTTTAAAGATGTATTTATTGGGTTGAATTTATAACTGCAATATAATATAGATCATATTTCATCATTCTATACCTTATAATTATAATTTAGAAACACCGTTATCATTTATAGCACTAGCTAATTCTTTTCTAAGGATGTGAACCACAAGGGAATGTGAGCAAGCAAGAATGAAGCTCTTAAGGACGCTATTCGTTTAGTTTTACTTTTGGAGTTTGCAGCTTGCCACCAGATCTCTGAAAGTCTTGAAGTGGAGAACAGAGTCCGGGCGGTGCCGGCCACCTAGTGGTAACTGCGTTCCCCTGTGGGACTCTGAGGCTGTTTTCTGTGAATCATGAATAGGAATGTTTTCTACGTCTCCAGTGTAGCTTTGAAGAATTGCAAAGGAAGTACAATCTTTTTCCCCTCACAAGAGAATATGCAGGGCATAAACTCCAGGTATGTCTGCACCTTCTTCCTTGTGTGCATGAATAATTCCTGTAGAAATCCACGGATATTCACTCAGGTAAACCATGGTTGAATATCTTGTATTCCAGGCAGTTTAGAAGTAGCACATTGAAGGCATTGCTCCCTATAATCCATTAATTTAATCCATTAATTTATATACTGCACTGGGGCAGTATGTAAATTAATGAAATAAATATTCACATACTTCAGCAATGAGCTTGCAATGAAATTGAACTGCTGGATTGCTCAGTGCTTTAGTCATCTGGCCGCGGTGCCAGAGGTTGGGAGTTTGATTCCCCACTGCACCTCCTTAATAGGAGCTGATGATCCATAGGGTCCATCCTAGCTCTGTAGATGATGATGATGACACTTCAACAGTAATGTGAGTGAGGGTTGAGTTTAAATAAAGAATTTTTTTTCAAAAAAGATTACTTTCTTCTAGTGTAATAAGTTAGCATTTTTCTACTTTCTTTTCAAGTCATTTTTAAAACACAATTTTATGTTCTTTCAAGAGGCATTTTGAGCATCCTTTCCCCAAGTTTCAGGCCACTTCCTTTAGCAACCCTATGTATAGTAATGAAACATTAATGAGTAGCCTAAGAAGCAATATAACGAGCTCCTAATAATTAGGATGATGGTAATAATAGTCGTAGTAATGTTAGCAAATGAATTCTTGAGTTTTCCAGTGATTTGATGCTTGGTTTCTCTTCGGCACCACCCGGATTTTCTAACAACTTTCTTAAAGGGATTCTGAAATACAAAAATTTAGCAAACCTGGATGACTTTTGACTCTTTGTCCCCTGCCTTTTTCCTAATATATTAATTTTGGACATTTTAATCTTTATATTCAAGATCATAACGTGCAGGAAGAAAGTCTGTGTAATCTGTCACTGGCTTCACCCTCTTTTCCGCTTGACGAGAAAAAGAACACACCTCAAATATTGAACAAAGCTCTCTGTTGGTTTTCAAGGCAGTGCCGGGTCCAGCGGATATGACACGGGACTCAATAGAGTAGACACCCTTCCTGATGCAAAGAGCGTCCATGGAGGTCCACCTCCGACATTGTCCTGGTCCAATAGATATTGATTTGACTTGGTGTATGCCTGAGATGAATTGTTCTCGTGTACTCAGGCGGACAGAGTTGATGCCACGTCTCTCCTATTCTTCTTCAGTTGACTCATTGCACCGTCTGGAGAAGTATCGTTTTGTGGAAGTGCTCGCTTCAAGCACTACTGGTCATTTTTCGCTTGAGAGGCATTCATGGGTGGGACTCTTGCACCTCCAGAAGCATAAATTTGCCCTTCAAAAACAAAAGCCGCATGTAGTTGCACACTGTGGTTGTTATATGATGTCAAGTTGCTTCTGAGTCATGGCGACCCTATGGATGAGTGATCTCCGAAAGGACCTTTCCTCAGCTCCTGTAAACTCAAGTCTGTGGCTTCTTTTAGTGAGTCATTCCATCTTGTATTGGGTCTTCCTCTTTTCCTGCTGCTTTCAGCTTTGCCCAGCGTGATTGTCTTTTCCTGAGAATCCTCCCTTCTCAGGATGCGCCCAAAGTAGGACAGCCTCAGCTTCAAGCTTTTTGCCTCTAAAGAAAGTTCAGGCTTGGTTTGATCCAGGACCCACTTGTTCCTCTTTCTCCCAGTCCAAGCTATCCAGCAAACTCTCCTCCAGCACCACATTTCAAACGAATCAATTTTGTTTCCTGTCAGCTTTCTTGACCATCCAGCTTTCACACCCCTACATGGTGATCGGAATGACAAGAGCTGCGGATCAGCTCTCATGCATTTAGTGCTTGCTAAGTATGTTACCCAACTAAAATTGTGTATTGGTTTACAGGAGTTCAGCATTGGCAAGTGTTGGTTAGCATACCCTTGCCAAGATGGTCATGCTAACCAACACTTTACAAGCCCATTAAGTCTCTTGCTCCCTCTCGCATTTCACTCAGGTGCCATGATCACAACAAGGTGCGCTCTGCACCTGTGGGCTGGATCTTGTCCTTCATATGCCTGACCGGGTGGGTTCGAAGCCACAAAGAGATAAATAACACGAGGGATTTTTGTTTTGTTTTGTTTTTAAAACCTGAAAGGTACCCTAAGCCTTCCTCCTCTTCCTTCCGTTTTGTTTTTCTACGCATGCTGAAACAGACTCGCACAACGATTCCCAACCTTGGGTCACCCAGGTGGTCCTGGACTGCCATTCCCAGAAGCCCCTCATCACCAGCTGTGCTGTCCAGGGTTTCTGGGAGGTTCAGTCCAAGAACACCTGGGTGACCCAAGACTGGGAACCGATAGTCTATCAGGACTAACTGCTCCAAAACATCTGGTGATCTTGTTCGTACTATGCACAATTTAGTGCCTAGAAATTATCTCGAAAGTACAGAGATTAGCTGGGTCTTGCTGTTAGGCTAAAGGGTAGGGCCAGGAAGATAAATTAACTGTAATAATGACCTATGGAAAGGCTGGAACAAGGGCCACCAAAGTCAGGATTCACACATCGCTTCCTGTGACTCCAAATTTATAAAAACGTGGCCCTCTTAATGAAAATCTGTGGAGGTTACAACCTGACATTCCAGAAAACAGCTGGTTCCTATCCTTCTCTCCCTCCTGTCCCAGTTTGCATCTGGGGAGGGAAAGGGAGGCCCATGAAAGACACTCTTCCCCTCTTCCTGTTTCCACCCCATCCTTCATGTTGCTCATGCATCTGTCAACACAACATGCTTCACATAGACTCCCTCTCAGCACTCAGGACCTCGCCTGCCAGTCCCCGTAAGTGGGAGGTGGGAGTCCAATGCCCCCCCCGGCTGGCGCGGACGGGGTCAATGGGTGCACTAAATGGCCCTCCAGGGACCCAAAGGTCCGTTGGGTGGATGAAAACTCCTGCCAACCTTACTCAGCGCTGTAAGGGGTAGTCCAAAAACAGAACAAAAAACCTGGCATTTACAAACTTTCTGGTTATCAATCTAATAGGTAGAACCAGGCAAATAAATAAAAGACTTATAACTAGGAAAAATAGGGTGGGCGGTGGCCAGGGGTGGACTGAAAAGCAGGTCCCCTTCTCTTGAGTCAAGTCAGTCCCTGCAGCTGCCAGCAAGAAGTACTGGATGATCAGCTTTCTTCTCTGAGGTCTGTCCAATGCCGTCTCAATTTTATACCAGTCATGAAATTAATGCTGTATCCATAGCATGAACACATGGCATTCTATTCTGTGGAGGTTACTGGAGAGCAGCATTAAGTTAGGAATCAGGCTGCAAGTCAGTTTATAATAGTAATTCAAAGATACAAAAAAAAAGCTCTGCCTTAATTCTCATTCTTGGATGCTAATGTGATTTTGGCGGTGACGATGGGTTGTCTGTAATGTGTTAGTCTGGCCCTGATAGTCATATGTGCAGGCAGGCATGCACACACACATTGCTGCCTCAGTGCAACTAACACTCTGCCAGAAGAAAAGCACAATTCTGCCCGAGTTATGCAAATATCTATTTTGCATAATTTATTCAGCACTAATGAAATCCCCAAATAGGTTGGCTGAACCTGGATCAGCCTTCTGCTTTCTTCCAGCCACTCGGGGAGACGTGAAGCCACAAAGCAATAGCCAGTAAAGATCCTACACACCGTGGATGGACAATCCTGGATGTGTACCCTTCTCATGATGTGCCTGTTCCTATACTCTGGTGATGAGATCAGCTGTGTGACCCAAAGCCTGCTGAACTGAGAGGGGCACCCCCATGACAGCCCTCCCGCTCTACATTTGGGTGATAGGATACTGGCCGGCATGTTCTCCTCTGTCGACAAGGAAGGGATATGCGAAATAAAAGCAAACACAGGGCCTTGGGGAAAGTGCATTGCTTTATTAACTGATTCGAAGTTGGGTTTGCGACATTCAGGAGAAGCACAAGAACTGGGGTCGTGGGCGGGCGGTGGGGCTGGAGGCGGCAGGGCCGGGCCTCTTCATGGGACCCTCCGGAGGGAGTCGAGAGTGCCTACAAGTTGATGTCTCCGCAAATGCTAATGCCCAAAATGCCGAGGATGCCGGCCTTGACGCAGCTGCCCGCGTGTATGCCACCACCTGCACAGGAGATGAGAGAGACAAATGGGTTACTCCGAAAAAGATGGCAGAAAAGGAAATGAAAAGAGAGAGGATATTCTGTGCTGCAAAGTCTTTAAGAACCGGTTCAGTTGTTTTGCCTTCTTCCTGGGTTTTGCAGACTTTTTTTTTTTGAGACTGATGCCTCGCAAGACGAAAAAATTCATCCGTCTTGCGAGGTTCCCATAGGAATGCATTGCAATGCATTCCTATGGGAAACCGCTTTTCGCAAGACAATTTTTTCGCAAGACAGCGCTTCTCGCGGAACAAATTACATTCACCTTGCGAGGCACCACTGTATAAAGATTTGGGAAATAAATTGCCTAGAGATCAACATGACACTGGCATGAGAGCTAGCAAACCAACTTTTTGGAGGACAATTCCTAAAATTCTGTGGATTTTTTCTTTAAAATGAAACCACCATACCCAGCACTAGTGATTATTCTATCAAGGGTCAATGGAGAGTCATAGAGGTCTCTTCTTGCATTCACACATTCAGGCCTTAGTTGGAGTTGGTGGCTCTAGTAGACACCAGGCCACTTAAAATGAACACGATCTTTTCAAGATATTAAGATGGCAAATTCCAGCAGCAGTAAGCGGGTTTCTGTTTAACGGGACTCATTCCCACCAACGTGTTTCAGTCTAGTTCCTAATCTGTGTTTCCAGTGTTCCTTCAACTTTTTTTTTAAAGGTCTGACAGCATGCGAAACAGTGTTTTGCCGTATTAGTAATACTCACTTTCCATTTTTTCAATTTTGTAAACCGGCACATCCTTGCAGAGTTGCTCAATAGAATGGCCTAAGACGAACCACTCCTTCAGTCTACCAAAGAAGGAGTTACTGGGTTCATACTTGCCCCACACATCTTTGGGGGACATAATTTCCTTCATCATCTAGAATGAGAAGATAATTTGTTTAAAATTAGCAGTTTCTAAAGGATTAGTTAGCTGTTTGGGGGCAAAACACACATTGAGAGAAATCCATTTCTTGGAGTAGTGCTCCCTCCAGTGATGAAAAAGGTGTAACTGTGAAAACAAGTTGAAACGGACAGCACATGCCATCAGGACTTTTTTTGGAATATAAACAACAGTTTTTTCCTTTGCATGCCTAATTCTTAACTTATGCATAACAAAGTAGATCATGTTGCTGGGGAGAAAGCAATGGAAGAGCAGGAAAAATGCATTTCTCTGAATGTGTGTGTGTTTTGGCCCTATCTATTGTATTAAAAGCAACAAATAATCTTATGAAAATTTTAAAACTAGAAAACACATTACGGCTATTTTCCTCAATCAAGTATCTCCCGCCCCCATCTGTGTTGGAGTACACCTCTTATCATCCCTAACAATTTATTTATTTAAAATATTTTCTCCTTAAAAAGGACTCAGTACAGCTTACATCATTAAAAGACAATATTTAAAAGCTAAAACAAAGACAGGTAATGCTAGTAAAAGTGAATAGATGCTGCAGTCCACCACACCCATATTATGGGAGTGGGCATATTATGGGATATGTCAGTGGTTTCCAAAGTTTGCATCGCTGTAGTGCCACGGAGTGCCACCAAATCCACCCAGGGGCACTGTGGAATCCTTCAAAGTACTTCCATGAATGTGGTCTTCTCTCCTCTCTTCTCCTCCCTCCCCGCCCAAAGAATCCTATGGATGGAGCCGTGGCCAATGGCCAATAAGTCAACAGTGCCATGAGCCAAAAAGGTTTGAGAACCACTAGCATATGTTTATGTGAACTAGAATCCACAGCGAGTAAAATAGGCTCTGATTCATGGAATCCTTTGGCACAATGGCTTTATGAATCTTTAAAAGGTTAAAGAAGAAGGGGGATGGACTAGAGAACCTTTGGGTAACCCTTCCAGTTCTGCGTTTTTTCAGGAAACCCTGGGGACTGCCACTCACTATGGAAGAAATGCAGGAAATAACAAATCCTGGGATTCTCAGTGCAAAGCAGTAAGTGCTCCAGGCGTTACCCTCTTAACATTTCATTATCCAGATCCAGTCACTGGGATGTCTCTAAGGGGGCCTGAACTTACCTGCTTTTCATAAGCTAACCGTCCAATGTCTTCCAGCTCATAAATGTATCCTTTTTCCATCTTCATAACAAAGCAAGCACGTCGGGAAAAGAGTCGGACTGCAATGTATCCCTGTCATTCATCAAAGGAGATCAATAAGTGAGTCACATCCTGCAACGGTGGGATTCTGACCTTTCCACTGATCATCTGGGGGGAAAACCCAAGTTTCACTGTCATCCCAACTCCCCCCCCTTAAAACTGGTTTGAACTTTAAAACAAAAAGGGGACATCACACACTGGATAGCTCTTGTAAAATCTGGATTAGAATTCAGAGTGAATTCACCACTCTGCAAAATTACAAGTTTAAAAACACCGGCTTTGTTGACCCAAAAGGTGAAATTGGCTGGCTCCCACTCTCTTTATTGGGTTGAATTCTGGTAGACTCGAACATTTCTTTTACTCTCTAAGTCCAATCCATATGTTGATTGTCAAACTACTATCCCCGTTGAATAGGGTGAATACAGGTGGTGGCAGTGTACATTGAAAATATTTGCATACAGCCACACATACGTAACTTGCACACAACAAATGACGGGATGCTGTCTTGTACAGAAAACGAAGAGGCTGGCTTCCACTTACAGTGTTGTAATCAAAAATAGTATCAGAAGAACAGAGTCCCCCGTATACGTGGATGTTGGCTATTTGGTTCTCATTATCTATGGTCACTGTCTGCTGGACATACTCGCCGTCAGAACTTGGGAGCCTGTAGACCTGGGTATAAAATAACATAAATATACTTTTTTCCCCAAAAAATCAGAAATGTCCTATAACCAAGTTCCCATAGTAGTACATGAAATGACAAAGCAATATCAACCTGGCAGAAAGACATGGGAAAACCCAGCAAGAATGAAAGGCACCCATCATTAAGAAACGTGTGAGGAAAAGGGGGGGGGTGATTTTTCAAAAAGCCATGATTTCCATTTGCACTTCGTGTTTGGGCACAATGGACATTCTTGGGGAAAACGTGCAAGTTCTGGTGCCACTCCTGTTGAGGTACACCATGTTGTTGGGGTGCACCAGACTTCAGCCAGTGGGTTGCCCAGAAAAGGGCCATGGATATCAAGTGGTGGAAACAATTGGGTAATAGTATTCTGCACCCACTGATGTTTCTGGACCCCTTTCAAGGGTCATTCCACATGTAAGCGTGCAACAGGATTGCAGCCTAGAGGTGACCAAAGGAAGAATCAAGGTCTGGAGGGGGGGAATCGAACTCCCAGCCTCTGCAGCCAGAAGTCCAAACCACTAAACAGCCATGGATATCAAGTGGTGGAAACAATTGGGTAATAGTATTCTGCACCCACTGATGTTTCTGGACCCCTTTCAAGGGTCATTCCACATGTAAGCGTGCAACAGGATTGCAGCCTAGAGGTGACCAAAGGAAGAATCAAGGTCTGGAGGGGGGGAATCGAACTCCCAGCCTCTGCAGCCAGAAGCCCAAACCACTAAACGTATCCAACAGTTCTGAGTGAAACCGATATTGTTTACCTCAAAGGTGGCAAGTGCTGGACTCCAGAAGAATCCCAGAACAACGATTAATGCAACCTGGAAAAGAAAACACAGAGGTCAAATTCATCCTTGGGAGATGATGGCTAGCATGTTTAGAGTTGCCGCATTGCATGTGACTCCACTCAGACTGTCATGGACAGTTGGAAATCTCCTTTCAGTCCCTCATCACACCCATGTAACACAGGCAACAAATTTGGTTTTTGCTTTGTTCTGTGCAAACTTCGGGTTGAAAAACAGCCGTGCTTTGGATGACACATTTCCTTACATTTTGCAGCATTTGGTTGAGGAATTCATTTAAACACCCTTGCATTCAAAGAATGCTCGTCTAATAAATAATAATCGTGTGTCGCCAAGTCAATTCTGATTTATGGCAACCCTCTTCAGGATTTTCCAGGTACAATATACACAGAAGTGGTTTTTTCCTTCCCTTCTTCTGGGATGGTGCAGCTGGCCCACGGCTACCCAGGCTGGCTCTACTCGCAAGAGGCCCCATGGGGGGAATCGAACTCCCAACCTCTGGTCCCGCAGCCAGAGACCTCAATCCCTGGGCTATTCAGCCAGCTATTTTGTGACAAAGCACATTAAAAGATGCATTTTCAAATGCATATTTGAATATGCGTTTTTATGTAGGATTTTCTTTTTTGTCGCAGATTAATATGGAAATAAAACAGAGAGGAATTACGAATGGATATAAATGAATATGAAATGGAGTAGAAATATCCATGAATCAAAATGAGTGAAAGCAGCCTTACTAACATTACTTTGGCCTATTCATTTCATCGGTGCCCACAAATACAAACTATCACGGCAGATGATGCTCCGTGCCACCAGGCGGGAGACTATCTACCATCTGGATTTTCTACCTCAAGGATTAAACCGTTTTAAGGCGATCCTTCCTGGTATTCCCTCATGGAGCCGGAGAATGCATCGTGTGGTTAAAGAAAGGAAGCTGATCCTGTTTTTTCTCCCGTGGAGGAGAAGATGTTCCTGTAACTTTCCCCTGCTTAAAAAATGTTGGGTTAAGAAAAATGTCTTGGTCCTGTCCAGGCACCTCAATCCATGAAGAGCATCTGATTTCCTTTCCAAAGGTTTCTTACACTTCCAAAGACATTCTACAATTATAGCTAAATATGTGATTATTTTGTTAAGAAAAGCACACTGAATATACTCACAAGGGTCTTCATTTTTCTTTCAGATGAGAGGAAGAAGCCACGGAGCAAATAGAATAAAACTGCCAAGGCTCCGGGTTTTTATACCTTGCCTGTAGGTGTGGGGAACATTCCCCAGTAATCTGCCCTGGTCTGCAGGTAAGCCCGTATCTTGGACACGCCACGGTAAATGGCTTTATCTGAATCTGGGCCTGGACCATTGATATCTTGAGCATGTTAGTCAGCCATGAAAAATGTCAAATTAGTTGTCTCAGTATCAGTTAACCCTTACCAGAACACATGTGCGTATTGTTAAATACTAGGAATTTAGGGCTGGACACTGGATTCTGACTGATTTATAGGAGGTCCGGATCAAAGGGAAATGATCAGATTTGGTTCCAGAGGAATGTGAAGTAAACTTAAAAACCAGGTTGTGTCCAGCTCAGAAATCACACCAGCTGAGGGACACATTTGTACAGCCTTTTCTGGGGAAAAAAAGCAAATGCAGTTTGGGAAGCGAATACCTGAAATGAGCTGTTTGAAACTTGACAGGCTTGCTCCCTTCTCTATGGCCTGTCATGGGTGCAAATTCCATGTATATTGAGCAAAAACAGAAAAAATATTGTAGCTCTTTTGGTTTTTCCAGTGCTACCAGCTAACTCAAATCCAGGGCACAAATCAAATTGGATTATGGAATATAAATCACTGTTGACTGAACTATTTACCCCTGTGATTTCCTGGAAACAAAAGACACTAATAGCCATGTTCATCTATTAATGTCCTACTGTGCAACTGCCTGTTGAGGTAACTAAAGTATTGACCCTACTTTCCTCCAGGCACCCACATTGAAAAAAATGTACATATAGTTGGAAGAGGACACCAAGAGGACTGGGGCTAGCCATGTTCATCTATTAATGTCCTACTGTACAACTGCCTGTTGAGGTAACTATTGACCCTACCTTCCTCCAGGCACCCACACTGAAAAAAGTGTACATATAGTTGGAAGAGGACATCAAGAGGACTGGGGCAGGGAGAAGAGAACAAATAGAGTTTTCTTCCTTCTTGTCCTTTCTAGATCTGCATGTAGATTGGTATTCCTTGCTGTCTTTCCTCCTGTTCCCTCTCTGAGCTGCCTCCTGCTTCTTTTTGCTCCTCCATGCTTACTTCCAGAAGCAAAGCTGCAAGCATGGCTACCAGCTGTAAGGGCATGTATAACAAAGGTTAGGGCTCCTTATTTCCTTTTGCACTACCCTCAAGTGGTTGTCCTGTGTTAATAAAGTGATTTTCAGCAGCCAGCGCCAAGTTGCTGCAACCTGCCAGGAAAACACCAACAAAGCCTAACATATAGAGCGGTCCATTTTTTTAAAGCAACAGCATGGTTTAACTCCTGATATCACCAAAAGTTTTGCAAAATGTTGAACCTCATCCCCTGCAAGGGTCTCTTGGATCATGCAATTTGTCCTTTAATTATATTTTGAGCGCCTCCGGGCCCATTTTAGACTTTTAAAGCCTTTTTAAAACAAACAAACAAACAAACAAACAATGACTATATTGTTAGAAATGACTGCAAACGTAAGATGGAAAGGGCCCCACCGTATTTACTCTTCCCGTGATTCCGTATCAGCGAGGGTTTTTGAAAGCCCAGCCTTTCCCTTGCTTACAGAACAGACCAAGGCCTTTAGCAAACAAATCTGGTGCCAACCTTGGTCAAATTATATGTTAATTGGGAGTGGGGAGGGTGAAGAACCACCGGATTTTGGGTTACAGTGCTTTCCTGAATGGCTTCAGGACTGCAAACTTGAAATGAAAAAATAATCTTAGAACTGCAGAGCGGGAAGGGACCCTCAAGATCATCCAGTCCAGCTCACATCAAGGAGACACCGCTGGGGAATCGAACCCCCAACTTCTGCCACTGCATCCAGAGACTTAAACCAATGAGTTGTTCAGCAGTTCAGTAACTGAACTGTGAGGTAGCCCAGCTTTCCAAGGCTGGTGCTGAACTTTGCATTGTCTTTGTGTTGATTACTTTTTAATTGACACCATGTTATGAGTCGAGCCAATGGCTGAAAAGGCTGGGGTAACATTGACTTTGCCCACAAGTCTATACAAGCTGGGACCCCAACAAACATCTCTCTCTCTCTCTCTCTCTCTCTCTCTCTCTCTCTCTCTCACACACACACACACACACACACACACACACACACACACACACACACACACACACACACACACACACACTTGTGGCCAGCAACAGGTGCTGCTGCAAAAATCACCATAATCAGCACCTTCCCTCTTGATGCTGAAGGCACAGGGTCCATAGATAAAGCAAATGATTCTTGTTGAAGAAGCTCTGAACTTGAAGAACCAGCTTCGACTCTGTTGACCTTAGATTTCAAATTAGGAAATGCAGAATTGAAGCTCAAGCAAAGGGAAACTTTATTCCTCTGTCTCAGTGGCTCCCAATCATGGGTTCCTAGACGTTCTTGGACTGCGACTCCCAGAAACCCTTGCCAGCATAGCGAGAGGTGAAAGCTTCTGGGAGTGGCAGTCCAAGAACATCTGGAGACCCCAGGTCAGGAACCATGGTTCTGCTGTGGACCCAACTGAATGCTGATCATATCAGGATTTTTCCAACCATCCAGACGACACAAGGCTTAAACTGAAACCAGCAGTGACAAAGACTGGCAAAACCCTGCCTTTCCAGACCTCCAAAGCTTCCCTGTGGAGGAATGCTTGCAAAGACAGTACTTTAGTGGGCCTTCTCTCTCTCTCTCTCTGTGTGTGTGTGTGTGTGTGTGTGTGATGTGGCAAAGACAAACCACTCCCTAAATATCTCACATGCCTCAAAAACCTTGTTAGGATTATCTGATATGCCTCAAAAACCCTATTAGGGTCACCATGAGTCAGAAGCAGCTGGTCAACACAGGAGAACAACATGGCACCAACAACTGTCCAGGGCAAGTTCTAACACCAGAACAGGGAAATTTACCACCATGTAGGAAAGACTCCGTCATTCTGAGGATTTTTATCTTCTTCCACCCACTAGGTAATGTTCCTGAGTTGGCTGCAGGTCACTGGGCCTTTTTAAGGGGGAAAAAAAGTCCCCAGGACTTCTAATACATGGGAATAAAATAAAAAAAAAATAAAGAACAGAATAAGAAAAAAAGATCGTCAAGGGTTTTCTGTTGGGAAGGTAATAAATGGTAATTGCCATGTTTCTTGCTGTTTTTGTTCCTAATCAGAATAGGAGTATACGTGTGTTCATGAGTGCTTTTATGCTCCTGCTTGATGAGAAGGGGTCTCCCCTCCTTGGCTATTTGGGAACAACCTGTCACGGGCCATAAGTAGCACAGGGGCAACCTGTTGCCAACTTCTGCTGTAAGGAATGGGCTTCAATGCTTTTATGCTCCTGCTTGATGAGAAGGGGCCTCCCCTCCTTGGCTATTTGGGAACAACGTGTCACGGGCCATATGTAGCACAGGGGCAACCCGTTGCCGACTCCCGGGCAAAATGTGGCCCTCCAGATGTTGCTGAACTGCAACTCCCAGCAATCCTAGCCCACACAGCCAATAGCGAGGAGTGTTGGGATTTGCAGTTCAGCAACGTCAGGAGGGCCCCACTTTCTCCAGGTTTCGACGTATTCAGGTCAAATTCCCATTTTCTTTGAAATCAGAGGCCTGGCCTCAAGCCACAAAACCTCTCCTTCAGAGCAATAGAGGAAGAGAAGAAGTAAGTTAAGTAACAAGGTCTCTTCTTCAGAGCGCAACCCCGTCCATAACAGGTTGATGCGATCCTGCATCTCTGTTCGTTTTGAAGGTTTAAACTCTGCCTGAATCAAAAGCCGCAGAGACTCACTTCATTTAGGACGGCAGTCTTGAGCATGTCAAGCCATTCTTTGCTTTTTCTGCTGCTCCAGAATAGCATAGCTAACCCCCCTGGAAATTACATTAATTATTTTTTTTAAATGACACCTCCTACACCTTCCCTCTGTGCAATCAAAAGTTATCAAAAAGTATATTGAATATATATCTGCCTCATGTAGCTTATCTGCAGGGTGTCGCCCAGTTTCCTTGTACATGCCCAAAGAATCTTGCAACAGCTCAGAGGGGGGGATCCAGAATGATAAGGCGCCCTATCTCGGTAACCTGTCCACACCCAACCCATGTATATAAAGACAAAGGGCCCATGCTTTGCCTGATCCAGCATCCCTTCTAGCTACAAACATGAAGTTGGCTGTAAGTATTCCTGTTCTCTTGGAAAACTCATAGTGCCTTGTTCGTCTAAATGAAAATCCCTCTTTATCTTGGAATTTCCTTTCGGGGGTAGCAAAATCTGTAACAAATTAAACTCCTGGATTAAATACTAAATCATACTCTGCGCAGCTTTGATGATGCTAGGAACGAGCCTGAAAAACGACTCCAGGTTAGCAGGGTTATTTAAATCAGTTTGCTGTCAACTTGACTCCGATGGCTACTCCTAGAGAACCGTAGGAAACGTTGTGTTCATCGGGTGTTAAGCATTTTTGTGCGTGCAACCAATTTCTAGTCTCCCCCCATAAAGGGATAAATTAACATTAGAAACCCGTTCCTAATGTTTAGAAAATAAAACTTTATGAGTTTTTAATGTGATATTTGCTTAATTCTTTTAAAACATTGTAACAATGTATTATTTTTAGCTTTTATACGGTTTCTTTTTTTAATTCTGTAAGTTGCCTTGCATCCTTTTTTAGGAGAAAGGCGGGATGAAAATGTTTTAAATAAAATAAAACAAATAAGCATTAACCTTTGCTGACCAACAACATCAATTTAAATTAATATTTTTTCTGAAATCCACTTTAGATTCTGAGCGTTGCACTTCTGGGATTCTTCCTGGCCCCGATTTTGGCCAGCAATGTAAGTATTTCATGAGATGATACAAATTAATTTTCTCGAAGCCTTTTGGTTGCCATGGGAAGTATCTCTAGGGAGCTTAAAGTGGGGGATGTCCTGGATCTCTTTTTACATATGATGGAGATCTTAATAAGCCCCCCCTTTTTTTGCAAGCCCACTTTCAAGAATCAAAGTCTTCCAGGTTGGGAAGGTTCATGATATTTCTGCCAGCCACTTAAGACTTTTGGACTTACCACCATTTTGGTTACTTATGATATAAATCTCAGCACTGAATTGCTGCCAGTTAATGAATTGCTGCTTGTATTGCTCATGATGCAGCACCTGTCGCAGTTGATGCACAAGGAAGGATATGGATAGTGACTTCTTAATTAGCTGAAATTTGCTGCTATGATTTGCACCTTTGTACGGTCATTTGCCCCCATTTTAAAAAGTCAATTTGTTCCTAATCTTGCCAGTCACTTCCAGAGAGTTTCATGATTTTTATTGTTTTTTTTTCCAACCAAGAACATCAACGAACAGAACCAGGGCAATGTTGGGGGAAGTTCCCACCAGTCTGTGAGCATCGACCATCAAAAGCAGGTGGTGAATGTGGATGATAATAATGGCTGGAGATCCTGGAACACCGTCTGGGATTACAAGACTGTAAGGAATTGGTGCCTGGTTCAATGCATTCATTTAAAAAAAAAAGAAATGAGAATATTTATTCCTTTCTCTCCCTTCATTCTTCCTCTAATTCGCTCCACCAATTCCCCTGGTCTTCATGGAATTTAAACAGGTCACACCCTCTGCAAATAATCTGTGCAGAGCAAATCAAACCTCCATTAAAAGAAAGACATGTTTCCTAAGGAAATGCTATTGAAATCAAGGGAAGCCGTGTGGTCAATACTAAATAAGTTACAAATGCAAGAATAATTGACACCTTTGTAGACCATTAAAAATTGTACCGAATACCTGGTCTTCATGGAATTTAAACAGGTCACACCCTCTGCAAATAATCTGTGCAGAGCAAATCAAACCTCCATTAAAAGAAAGACATGTTTCCTAAGGAAATGCTATTGAAATCAAGGGAAGCCGTGTGGTCAATACTAAATAAGTTACAAATGCAAGAATAATTGACACCTTTGTAGACCATTAAAAATTGCACCGAAGATACTGTATCGCCTATTCTTGCATTTGTATTTTATTTCCTAAAGAAGACTCTAGTCTCAGCCTTCTGTAATGGAGGTACCCTCCATTACGGATAGTGACTTCTTAATTAGCTGAAATTTGCTGCTATGATTTGCGCCTTTGTATGGTCATTTGCCCCCATTTTTAAAAGGTACCCTCCATTACAAGTCCAATCAACCTTTCCCATCATCCTCTGGCTGTCTGGGGATGTTAGGAGTTGTTGTGCAAGGCATCTGGAGGTCATGAGGCTGTGGGAAGCCTGCTTTTCATAAACAGCAAATATCGGGCAGGAATTCCTAAATCTTTGGTGCAGTGACCTTGGGCCAGGTGAAAACTGCTAGAATATTCTCATTCTTCATACCCACAATCCCAAGCGCCTGAAGGAGAGGAAGGGGAGGGCCCAAAGGACTAGCTGCCTCTTCCCCCAGAATCATCTCTTGAGCTTCGGGAAGGCGTGGCTGATTTCTATCATTTTGCGTGCGAACAGGGTTATGCCGCCACCCGGATCCTCTCCAAGAAGTCTTGTGTGGTCACCAAAATGAATCCAGAAATCATGCCAGACGTCACTACACTCCCCAAAGCCATCAAGGAGAAGCAGGTAAGACCAGGATGACCTTTGTTGTAGATGGTTGCTCAGAGGGGGAATTTCCTCAGTGTGCCCGGTCCAGCTCCACCATGGGACTGGAATGGATGCTAAGGCTTTGTCTCACTTGATAACGCCAGATGCATTCACTCAGTGGTTCCCAACCTGGAGTCTCCAGATGTTCATGGATGACAACTCCTAGAAGCCTTCACTGCCAGCCGTGCTGGCCATGATTTCCAAGAATTGTAGTCTAAGAACATCTGGGGACCCAAGGTTGGGAGCCACTGCAATAGCTGAAGCATCTTCCACAGGTGGCCAATCAGCCTCTGATTAAAATCGGGTGGCATGCATTGTTTTCTTAATTAGTTTCTTCCACCACTAAACAGCTCTTAGCATCAGGATTTTCTTCCTCATGTTTAGTCACAGTCTCCTTTCTTGTGATATCAATAAATTCAGAGAACCTGGATTTTAACGGCTGTGTTCTTGTTTGCTTGTGTTTAGAAGGACAGCAATCGAGAGTCGGCAGACAAAGAGGTCACCTACATGGTTTCCTCCAAGAGGATTATGGACCTGACCCCATACGGGAAGAACGTTGAAGCTCTGTGCAGAGGAATCCCAACCTATCCTGCTTTTGAAGTGAAACGTGAGTGCCAGGATTCCACCAGAATTCCATGCCTTACAACATCCCTATTACAGAATGTGACAAGGGTCTATTTCAGCATTTCTCCTAATCTCCATCACACTAGGGGTGTGAAGACTTTCTAAATGTCTTCTTATTGCTTCAGAGGCTGTCTGGACCTCTCAGACCAGTCTCTCCAGAAGTTACTACTCTCCCCAAGACTCTTCACCTTTGCTTGAGAGAATAAGACACATGTTTTGCTTCTTGGTCAAATTTTTTGTAATTTGCAACAAAATTGCAAATTTCGGTTAGACGGGTGGCCTTCTCTTTGCGACTCACACATAGGGAAACAATCTCAGAAGGACTGGCTGATTGATCAAAGGGATACAATCACCCCATCCCCTGCTTCAGCTTTGCAAAAATCCACGCAGTCAGGAATAAGTTATAACAATTTTGCAGAAGTGTGCAAAAATTATCATATAAATACAAAAATTCTTATTTAGGCCAACAGGAAAACTCTTACCACCTCCCAGGTGAGCAGGAAAAGGTTGTGGCTTTTCTTTCTTGGACACAAGATGAGAGAACCAATAATTTATCTTATACATACAGTTCACCAGGAATTAAACCTTTCCCCACAACAAATTAATTTCATGGTTGTCTCAAACCCCTTTTACACATTAGGTTCCTAGCATTTAGTGTGGTGGATCTATATTTACCAATTCTTGGGGCTGAACAACATGCTACAGTACGTTAAATATGCAGCTTGCTGTTAAGTTTATATGTGTGTCTTTCTTTACTTGGAAGTTAGTAGAATTTCATATTTCATGGTGGCTAAGGATGATGGAGAGTGTACGTCAACACATCTGTAGGCCCTGAATTAAGGAAAGCTGTCATGGGGGGCACAGCAGGGACAACACCCTGGGTTCTACTAACTGCCCCCATGTCTCCCTTTGCAGGTCAAGGCTTTTGGTATTATTCTGGATCCTGTTTCAGAGCAAACGTTCTTTGCCTCCTGGGAATCAACTATTGTGGAGAAACCTTTCAAAGCTAAGCAGAAAACCCCAAATCAGCTTCTCCTACCTGACAGCTTGTTCATCCCTCAGAGAATTAAAATCTCTCCTGATCTTGGATTTTATTCATGTCCTTTTCTTGTTTAGGCCTGAAGCACAGAAAAAAAATTGACTAGTGCCTTGTGGTGGTTTCCCAAATAAAAAGGTGCCTAGAATTGTTGACTCTGTGCTCATTGTTCTTGCTGTCGTTTTCATGCCGCTCTCTGGCTCAATAGGGTTGGCGACCTGCCTTTCACAGGGGTGGCAAATCCAAACTTTGAAGGCAGCATGGAAAGTGCTGAAACCTGTATTTGGGAGGTAGGGTTCGGGCCCTCAGACGGCTTCTGTAATGTTCGGACTAAAATCCCAAGTGGACTCACCTCTGCCAGATTAATCCCTGGATATAGAAGCTAGAAAAAAAATGTGTACCGTATCTAAAAATATTGTGTTAGGATAAATGCACAGAAAAATATATACTACTGTGTCTGCATCTCCTACATGTTAACCTGTTTTCACTTCCACAAAACGATTTCAGCAGAAGTATGTGCTTCAGCAGATTGATAGATTAAATTCATGTTTACCTTTGAACGACCAGTTAGATAACCAAGCACACTAAATTTAACTTAAGTGGGTGAGGAAAATTGTGTGATATGACAAACATTTATCACCACTTGAGGGAGCACCTCTTCTAAAAACATGCTGAAGTTTATCACTTATCTTGAACCATGCCGATGTTGGTGCTGATGCTGCCCCTCAGCCCTACATCTTAGTAATTCTCCCCGTTTCCTTGCCGCAGTGGAGGCTGATGGCTCCCATATCAGTGGGCAGTTGATCTGCTCTGGCATGCAGTCTAAACTTTGAAGAAACAATCCAAATTATAAACTTATTTCAGGGATAGTGTTATCTTCTCTCGTCCTTGTGAAGTTCAGCTTAAAACCCAGAGCCCAGTCAGTGCCCCAATGATATTGGATCAAACAGACTCAACCACCTACACCTTATTCATCACCTTTTCATCCTTCAGCATCCTTTTGAAATGGGTCCACTTGATGAGTCGCAACTACCACTTTCTTATTTCTACTCTTCTCTGAATGGCAACCCTGGAGGGGTGGGTGGAAGAGGAGGAGGAGGAGGAAGAGCGTAGCCAGTCAACAAAAGCATGACACTTCCAATGAATATTTGCTTAAGTCTTGTAACTTCAGAAGTGGAGTTGCATAGCTGGGAGACAACACCTCAAAGTCAAATATCTTTGGGCTTCTCTTCCCTCTTAGAGCAAATATCACATAACAAACCACAATCAAAATCTGAAGTTCTCAAGCAGATTCCACTCACAAGGACACACTAAACATGGCATGTGATCCCATTCTTATGGATACCTCTGTGGTTTAGGCCTCTGGCTGCAGATCCAGAGGTTGGGAGTTTGATTCCCCCACTGGGCCTCCTTGACAGGGTCCCCTCCAGCTTTGCAGTTCAAATATGATGATGATTCTTGGGGGGACCAACAGGTGGAAGGGGTGAGGGAGGAGTGGGGGGACATTCCTTTTCAATGCCCTCCAGGAACAGCTGATCCCCAATCCCAGAGGAGACCCATGATCTAGTTGGCACCTGAAACTCATTCCTTTCCAGCAGTACAGATGGGAAAACACGACAAGGACAACCAAATTACTTTTAGTCATTCTTTCCATACTAGTTTTTGTTGAGGCAGTTTCTAAAGAGATCTTATTCAACGCGCCCTCCTTCACCATTCAGAGAAATTGGTTTTCATATCCTGTTGAGATGCTTCCAACTTACAGCAGCCTCATGAATCCACAGCCTCTGAAGCCAAGATCCTGTCTTCAGCACTGCTGTTCAGGTCTTGTAAACTAATGTCCATGGCTTCCTTTATTGAGTCAATTCACACCATATTCAGTATTCGTCTCTTCCTGCTGCCTTCACCTTGATCCTGTCTTCAGCACTGATGTTCAGGTCTAGTAAACTAATGTCCATAGCTTCCTTTACTGAGTCAGTGCAACCTATATTCAGTATCCGTCTCTTCCTGCTGCCTTCACCTTTTCCTACCATGATTGTCTTCTCCAGTGAGTCTTATGTTCTTATGAACAGAGAATGATGTTCTTTCTCTGCTTCTGTAGGGACTTCAGGCTTGATTTTATTTAGAATTCCCATATCCCCCCTTGACCTTTGCAGGGGCTTTATGCGTAAGTGGCATAGGTCCACCCATGTAAATTCCTGTGGGTTGCAGGATGCCCATATCATTGACCTTTGCAGGGGCTTTATGAGTAAGTAGCATAGGTCCACCCGTGTAAATTCCTATGGGTTGCAGGATGCTCATATCAGCCCAGCTGCAGATGGCTGGCCTGCTGCCCATTCTACCCAGTCGGTTGGTGGTAATTTGGGCAACCTCTGGGTGGAATGGCCTTGGACTTAGGCCCCAAGGTCCAGCCATCGCTGCATCATTTCCTTCTTATCCAATGTGAGAACAGAAAGTCCTAGGGCAATTCAGTCTGGAAATGTAGAATCCGGTTCCAAAGGACTTAAAGCTTGATCTTGCCATCTTGCCTTTCTCATGGGGTCTTGGAAAGGTAAATGGACATTGTGTTGTCTATGGTGACATGAGCATTTTAAGAGAGTGACAACATACAACTACATTACACACAACACAGAGATGGACATCCTTTGTGAGCTGGCTCTGCATTCAATCCCTCATGAAAGATGTTGACAAGAGGGTAGGAAGAAGTTAGAAAATATCACAAGAAAACTGAAGGGCCAAAATCGCTGTAAAGCACTGTGTCGGCATGCAAATATTTGACTTTTCTAAGAAGAGACAGACAACACCTATCTAGTCTCATATGTAAATATATAACAAAAAATATTTAGTTTTCTCTTGTACTTCTCATCGATACAAATAAGAACAATAAATATTTGATTGCAAACTGCATATTTGGATACTCTCATAACTAAGTATATAAAGAACGATGACTGTGAAAGGCTGCTAAATTCTTCCTCCTTGCTTCACTTGACTGGTGCAGTTTTGGAGCCAGAATGAAGACCCTTGTAAGTACGCACGTCTGTTTCAAAAAAATATGAGGTGAAGTAAAGCTGTCATTCCCGTCTAGGTCTTGGTGTGAATTTGAGAGACAGAGGAGCTGCTCAGGTAATCCTGTGGTATCTCACAGGTATGTCTCTCTAGAACTACTGCATGTTTCTATCCTTAAGATTTGATTTGACTTCCTGTCCAAAAAAGAAAAAGTTTATTTAAGAGGAACAAGTAAGTACACTTAAAAGAGACTCAATTATACACATGGGCTTTGTGTCTAAATAAATAATTCAGAGGGGCTTTCAGCAAGAAACAGGAATAGGAAATGTCTGGGTATTTTTGAAAATGTGTTTAGAGTGTCTTATTTTCATGGTTCCCCCCTCTTTGCAGATTCTGACCGTCAGCCTCCTGGGGCTTTTTATGGACTCAGCTTTTGCGAGTAATGTAAGTAGCTTGTTTCGCCTATAATCTGTTCTTACTCCATACCTTTGCCTCTGAACCACAGCTTGTCTGGGAATCCTGTTTCCCCTGTGAGACGTATGAGTTGGGGATTCCCTAGGCAAGCAAGCTAATGCTTAACTGAGCCACAGATTCACTACCTGGCCTCAGATAAGCCTTACAAACGCAGCCTCAACTCTCCATAAAATGGGCATAATCTTGGTGGTCTATTCTGCAGGCAAGGCCTTCCTTAATTCCATTTTTCTGGGTCCTCCTGCCTTCAGAAGTGAGATGGGTGGGGTAGTTCTTAGGTGAAAAGTCATTTTCTGTCATGGCACCTCAATTTCCCTGATGTGTGTGGAACCCGATGCCATATTGCAGGCTTTAACAGTCTTACTCTGACCTTTGAAGACTCCTGCATCAAAAATCACCATGAAGGGCAGACAAGGTTTGGTGACCAAGATGAAAACATTTGGGAGGACAACTTTCTTATTGAAACAAACCAGAGATGCTGTTGTATTCTTGGGCTGTTCCCTTTTCATCTTATCAAAGTCTATAAAATAGAACCTCATTCATGGGGGGAGGCCATGGCAGCTCACAAGCACTGCATTCATGCAGTTCTCTGTTCCACTATTTCAGTTCACTTCCAGTTGACGTTCAGCTGCAGTTCCACTTTAGGCCCCCAAAAGTGCAGCAGTCAAGCCGGTTTCCACACTGATCCATTGTAGCTCCGAAACCAGGATGGGCTTCACTGCCAAATGGAAGTCACTCCCTTCCTCCATCTCTGGTCTCCTCTTCTTTCCTCCCCTTTCCCATTTGCCACAAGGGTGGACTGCAGACCCTTCAGGCTTTCCCTCTCCTCCTCCATGGAGAGATTAATGGTAGCTCTTCATCTGTAGGCTATCCAGCTGATAAACAAGGACAATCAAGGGAGCACCGTCTACCAAACTGTGAACATCAACCACAACACCAATGTCGCTGCCTTCAGCGTTTACTCTGGAACATATTCGACCAACGCCGTCGTCGACTACAACAATGTGAGCAAGCTTCTGTTGTTATCTACTCTGTGTGTGATGTTGCAGAGGGCATGGGAGGGGAGGTCCACCCTTCGGCCTCTTGGGGCCATCCACTGAATCCACCCTAACAGAATAGCAGGGTGCTTCCCTACCGGTTTGCAGTGAACATGTTCCCACCGCTCGAAGCATTGGTTACATTTTTTCCCCCTGAAAACAAAGACAAGCAGTCTGAAGCATCATTCATGGCTTGGGAGTCAGCAAGTAGAATCAGAATACAAGGAAGGCAAGAGTTGAAACCAGAGAATTTCAACCAGCCTTCCTTGCTGCTGCTATTCGTTACTCCCAAAGTGATGAGGAACTATCCATGGTGCTGAATCCACGGGGGGGGGGTTTACTTTTCACCATCTTAGATTGCAACTGTAAAGTTCTGACTAAAACACAGAGCAGAATTCACTGTCCCACTAACAGCAGCCTCCCTTGGAATGGGAGACTATCCCCAGAAAGAAAGAGGTGATGATTGACAACAGGTAGCAAATGCCCATCTGAAAACAGTGGGCAAGAGACAAGAGGG